AATTTGGTATCAAGAAGAGTTTCTAACGCTTGTGTTTGCTCCAAGGATAGTGCAGGGTGATCGATGACACCGCATCGAACAATAGATGGTGATGGTGTAAAGTGCCAAACATTATCTGTCAAGATAGGAATAATCCCTACGGCTTTCCAAAAATCGATGCCTAAGAGTAAATCTTGGCATAAGTCCGGAATCACGAGTAAATTTATGATAACGGTTTTATTTTTAAGGGTAATGGGAGTGGTAATGTACCCAGACGAGTAACATTTGTCTCCATTTGCAACAGTGCAAATCGTGGTTTCAGGGATCATTGCTAATCCTAAACGTTGTAACATATGGTAACCTTCTTTCCCAATTATGGAACGTGACGAGCCAGAATCTAGGAGTCCTAGAAGAGGAACACCACTAATTGTCACTTGCACGTAAGGTCGAGCATCATTTGTAACGTGTTGTATAATAAAATCTAGTTTCATCTTAGTTGGGCAAAATGGTTCAAGAGGTAATGGTTTCGCCTGATTAGGGGCCGTGAGCTCGCGGCGATTCAACGAGTTCCCCCGCTTGCGTTTCCCGAAAGGCTATTGGGATTACAGTGCACGCAAGTTTTTGTTGTAAAGCCCTTTGTACCACATCGGTAGCATAGGAGCAGTTTGGGCTCCGAACATTCGGAAATCGTATGCCCTAATTTTTGGCAATTCCAGCATGGGCCATTTACGGAATGGACTGGAGTACGCACTGGAATAGGTTTACGAGGAGCTTGATAGGCAAATTCAGGTTCTAAAGTTGGTAAGGTAGTTCGATTGCGCAACGCATTCACTCTGTTTATTTCATGCAGCACGACATCATATGTTTTACATTCACGCAGCAAATCACACACTGAAGTCAAAACTACAGGACCTAATTTATCTAAATAAAATGGAAGTAAATTCCTTTTAATGATCATAACTTGTTGTCGTTCCGATGGCGGGTGCATAAGTCGAGCAAACATGCTTTGCATGATGGCAAAATAAATATCAATGGGTTCCGTAGGACCTTGAATTCGCAACTTAATCTCTTCTAGGAGATCATCATCATAGTGTGGCGGAAGGAAAGTTTCTCGTAATAAAAATACAAGTTCGTCCCAAGATTGAGCACGCGATGAGTTTATGTTGTACCATAATCGAGCGGGACCTTCGAACAAGTCATATGCCGTTTCAAACAAGGTAACATGATCAACCCCACGCGATCGAGCCATTCTTTCTACGCAATCAAGGAATGTATTTAAGGTATCTCCGGTACCATCTCCACGAAACTTCAATCCCCATTTAAAAATAGGTGTCGAGTTAACCGAAAGAGTTTTCGACGCTGAAGCTCCAACTTTTCTCATAGATTCATCTAACGGTGGCATAATAGGGCTAGATGTTACTGGTTTACGAGGAGCGGGTTGTATATTCAGCATCTGAATCGATTCGTTGAATTTAAATGCCTTTAGATCAAGAGAATTGCGAGTGTCTTTAATTAACTCTTGAAGAGTACGGAGTCGAGATAATTCATCGGCCGATAGGGTTAATAAAGTTTTGGTACGATGCAATCTTTGATCGGCATGCAGTAAAGATGTAACAATTGTTAAGTAAGTGCTACCACCCATTGCATCATCAAATAATTCAACATTTTGTTTTAGCCTACCCATTAATTCAGTCACCGCTATAAAATCTTCCTCAAAGGAATACGGATATGCAGGAAGAACAAAATCAGGTAGTTTTTCCTTTTTCAAGAGTTCACGTAGCATAGCACGGTTTTCATCCACTTTACCAGTAGGTAAACCACCACGGATGTGTAATTCATATTGCAATTCCCTGTCCTTTAATCTATTAATATCTAAGGCCATGGTCAAGAAAAAGAAATCTCCCCCTCTTAACTAAAATCCTAAGCCTAACTAACTTAAAAACTAACCAAAAAAAAAAATCGAGGAAATAATGTTCCAAGAGTAATAATTATATAAAGTACCCCGAATTGAATTAAAGAAAGTAAAAAAAAAATTCCAAATGTGAAAAGATCAAGATGGGTGTCAATCACGCGGCCCTCACAC